GAGATAGAAGGCGAAGTGAAATGTAAATCTACGTTGAGCTCGTGATCCCCGCGCGGCTGACAGAAAGGCGCGTGCGGGCTTTCTCCCAGAGCCGCGTCAGTTTCAAACTTTTTTCCAACGTCGCTCAGGTCAGGATTAGGGTCAGAGGGAGCTGACCAATTGGTCATGGTGCTGAAAGCATTGTTGCCAATCAGTAACTAAGTACACTGGCTCGGTGGGAAAAGGCAGCGATGAAGAGACGCCAACAGTTTGCTTGTGAGAGCGGACCCGCCTTAAATTGGGACCATGACAATTCCGGCTAATTTGTGGATTAGGGGGAGCGGTGCAAAATGTCAGCAGTCACTGCGTTTGCTAAATAGGGCATCAAATTAGCGAGACTGATTCCACAATGTCCTACAAATTCCAGCATTGGAAGCAGATTCTGAAGGCCCATCAATTTGACCGAATTAAGAAATGACACAGCGATTTTTTTAGGAACCCACCTGGGAAATATGATGCTCTGATGAATGGGTGGAATGAGCCGTCAAAACATGGGAACGGGAATGTTTTCGCATTCATCCCTTGCACTGAAGGTGGTGGTGAAGAAGCTATGACACAAAATAAAGCGGACTTTAAATGAAACGTACAAGTTGAATGTGACATGCGTTTACAACATAAATGTCACTAAATTCTTAATGAGCGTATTTTAAACAAAATATTTTAGACAGTTACTCTTTTTGATGCTTTATCAGCAGTATAAAGTTGCTAGTTTATAAACATAAGAGAAACCTACCGTTTCGTGTTGTTGACGCGAGAATCGCATTCAGTTAGAAATGTGCCATCTACGTATTTAAGATTATAGACAAAGTATCCCAAATCATTAAAAAAGATTATAATAATCTTGGTATAAAATATTCATACAAAACACTATACAAGCTGCCAAAAACGCAGCGGTTGCAACGTTCTCTCTTCAACTGAAAGGTTTCCTATCAAAGTTCACACAGCTACCGTGTCAAACAAGACCACTTTTCTGAAAGTTTTCCTCCAGTTTTGTATAAACATAAGTCATTAAAAATGACACAGTCTGCTTAATGATTATGACACGGTTATTTCCTCGTCCTCTGATTCTGAGAAGTCTGAGTGCTTGCTGGAGATAGAAGGCGAAGTGAAATGTAAATCTACGTTGAGCTCGTGATCCCCGCGCGGCTGACAGAAAGGCGCGTGCGGGCTTTCTCCCAGAGCCGCGTCAGTTTCAAACTTTTTTCCAACGTCGCTCAGGTCAGGATTAGGGTTCATTTTCGTCGGTAATGTTTGTTCCCTGCAACCTCCTGACGACAGAAGCTCTCTTTCTTTGGAATTGCGCCATTTCATTCTTCGGTTTTGGAACCAAATTTTAACCTGATGAGAAAGAGTTCGCAAGACATGAGCACACCAGTTAACCTCAGACACCCACAAAGGTACGATACAAAAATATGTTTGTGGACAACATCAGCTTACCTGAGAGTCTTTAAGGCCAAGTTTCGTCGCCATTTTCTTTCTGTCTGGTTTGCTGATGTACTTCTGTTTCTGAAACATCTTCTCCAACGCTTTTCGCTGCACGTCAGAGAAGACGGCCCGTCGAAGCATTCCTCTCCTCGGCTTCCCTCGAGCCGTGAGTGGCCATGCGAAAGTTCCGGGAATAGGCACTGCTGAAGACGATGCTATAGGAAACAACCAAACAAACTCTTTTAAAAACAGTGTTTCTCTCAAAATAAGCGAATACGAGTCTTTTCTAAGAACAGGAAGTAGTCTTTGGACTTGGAACGAAAGTTGGGCTTTAATGGTTTTTTTTTTAAACTAAACCGTTTGAGTGATATGGAACGAGGAAGCTAATTAGCACATTGCTTGGTTCCCAAAAGCATTGGTATGGTAACAAGGGCGAGCAGTCATTCAGAGCGCTCCAGTGAAAGATAGAGGTGCTAATGAAGCGTGGACGGTAATTGTGTAGTAATGAACTGACTGAAAAAGGCTTAGGACAGGCCACGAAAGCCATATATTACGGCCACAAAAGAGATTTACACTTAAAAACTAAACACAAC